ACCACATAAGCAAAAAGAAAAAAGCCGGAAGTGGTGCTGTGGCTCAAGTGGTAGAGCGCTAGCCTTGAGCTGAAGAGCTGAGGGACAGCGCCCAGGCCCAAAGTTCAGGCCCCACGACCGGACCCCCCCCCAAAAAAAAGATGATTTGCAAATTCAACCTTTTATTTATTTTTATTTTTAGCCAGTCCTGGGGCTTGAACTGAGGGCCTAGACTCCTGAGCCTCTCTGTGTTCAAGGCTTGAGCCACAGTGCCACTTCTGGTTTTCTAGTGGTTTATTGGAGATGAGTCTCACGGACTCTCCTGCCTGGGCTGGCTTTGAACCGTGATCCTCAGACCTCAGCCTCCTGAGTAGCTAGGATTCTATAATCCTAGTGTAAGTCACGGGCTCCTAGCTCCACCATTTTTAAAAGTACAGTTCAATACTGTTAAGTATATTCACATTGTTGAAAAACATCTTGAAAGCTTTTTCATCTTACCAATATGAAACTATTATGTAAACTTTTTTTTTGTTGGTTGTGGGGCTTGAACTAGGCCTGGGCACTGTCCCTCAGCTCTTTAGCTCAAGGCTAGTGCTCTAGCCACAGAGCCACTTCCGGTTTTCTGAGTGGTTTATTGGAGATAAGTCTCACAGCCTTTCCTGCCCCAGCTGCCTTTGAAACAGGATCCTCAGATCTGAACCTCCTGAGTAGCCAGGATTACCGCCATGAGCCACCAGAGCCTAGCATATATGTAAACTTTAAAATTCAACTTTTATAAAACTTAGATCTTTTGGGATAGCTGTTTACACCAATGGTGAAGTATCTGCCTTAAATTTTAAATACTTGATGTAGAGATAGAAATAATTCACTACAAATGTCTGCACTTGCCTGCTGTTGCAACTGAAAAAACATGAGAATCCACTGGGGTCCTGTGCTATATACCACATGAAGTAGGGCCTTACGCCCAGCAAACTTTAGACCCAGAAATGTTTACGCTGGATTCAGCACAGCTTCTTTAAGTATTTAGTAGGGATGTGAGGGTGGCTCAAGAGCCTCCTTTGCAAGGCAAGTCCAAGACCTTGAGTTCAAATCCCAGGACAAAAAGATAGACAACATCCGATCTGATCAGGCAAGATTTCCATTGCACTTTTTTCGCAAGCCTAGCTTTAGATTTGTCTTTATTTTACCAGATCCCATAGTAGCAACAGAACAACAATGCTTTTCATTTCCACAGTGGTGGCACATGGTAAAATGAAGTTTGGCCCCAGGAAGCAAAAATCTCAATGTATTTTACTCATCTGTTATAGAGAGATATAGTATTAAAAAATTTAGTGTCAATTTATTGTATTGAGGGGTTACAGTTACATAAGTAAGGTATTGAGTACATTCTTTGTCTAACTTGAGATACCGTATTTAAATAAAATAATTTTTCGTCTCCATAAGTCTCCCAAACTGTGAACCTGCCATGAAGTATGAATTAAAGAATCTTTAGGGCTGGGAAGGTGGCTCAGTGGTAGAGCGCTTGCCTTGCTATGCCTGAGGCCCTGGGTTCGATTCCTCAGCATCACATAAGCAGAAAAAGCCAGAAGTGGCGCTGTGGCTTAAGTGGTAGAGTGCTAGCCTTGAGCTGAAGAGCTGAGGGACAGCGCCCAGGCCCAGAGTTCAGGACCCACGACCGAACCAAAAAAAAAAATCTTTATAACTTGGTATCAACTACAAGATGATCTTAAAAACTACTTTTTCTTAATATGTAGAAGTAACTTAAAAATTAACACTATATGAAAAATATTTAATTGTACATGTCAACTGTCACAATACAAGTAAAAAACTAACCTGTTGGAAAATACACCAATTCTCAAAATTTCATCTGTTACATCTTCAATGAAACTTAGATACAAAAGCTCTTCTTCACTGCAAAGGCAAGGCAACACAGCATTATACTATGCACACTTACACCAAAAAACTAAAGGAAACAAGTACCTCATCGGATTTACCTGTCTCTACTATTACATTCTATTATTATTATTATTATTAAGAGGGTTATTAGGAAATGAATATGTCTGACTTCTCAAACTATGTAAAGATATTTACTAAAAATGTATCATCTAATGGGGTAAAACTTAATAGCTTTCTACAACATTTGTAGCAATGAAAAAAATCATCAGAGCCAGGTGCTGGTGGCTCACACCTATTATCCTAACTACTTAGGAGGCTGAGATCTGAGGATTGCCTTCAAAGCCAAGAAAGTCCATAAAACTTATCTCTAATTAACCACCAGAAAACTGGAAGTGGAGCTGTGGTTCAAAGTGGTAGGCACTAGCCTTGAGTGAAAAAACTCATGGACAGCACCCAGGCCCTTAGTTTAACTCCCACGAGTGATACCTCCCCCTACCCCCACTCAAAAAAAAGAAAGAAAAAACCATCAGAATTAAACGAGAGAAAGGATAATTAAGGTGGTTGGGTGCACCTGCAGGAGGGCTGCCGGCCTGTGAGCTGGATTTGTAACTTGATAGCCTCGTTGCTCCAAGGATGACATATTGCATTAGGTGAAGAAAGTTACTGAGCAGGACAATTTCTTTTTTCCCCCCCTCAATGCAGAGCACAGCCAGGAGCCAGTGCCTCACCCCTATAATCCTAGTTACTTTCCATGGTGAGATCTGAGGATTATGGTTCACAGCCAGCTAGGTAGAAAATTTCATTAAATTCTTAACTCCAATTAACCAGCAAAATGCCTGAAGTGAAGGTGTGGCTCAAGTAGTGGAGGGCCAGCCAAGATCAAAGAATGAGAGGCCCTGAGCTCCTGTAATGGTATGAAAAATATTGCAAAGGAAAAAAATGTAATAGAAAAATTTGTGAACAAAAATCAAGGGGCAATTTTTAATTATGTAGATATATTTCTTTATTATTTTGCCTTATGAGGTAAGTATATCTTAGTAGCTATTACAGGAATAATAGGATATTATTATAAATTTCATTTAATTTGTTGAAATGAGTGAAATAACAGAAAATGTAAATAACCTGCATTACTCAGTGAAAAAGCATATAAGAGGAAGAAACAATAAGTGAAGATAATTTGTATAAAAATATTATTAAATGTATTAAAACTGACTGATTCACAGGGACTTACTTAAAAGGGGCCAAGTTTGGGAATAAATGAAACTATAAAATAGATTACTTTCCTGACAAAATGTAATGTAGCTAAACCAACAAAATCTACAATTGTCTGCGAAGTTATAAACCTCTAAGGAGGGTATTCTGGGTTGTTGGACTGCTAAAAAAATGTACATTTTTCTAAAGCTCTTATCATTTTAACTGATAAGAATTAAGAATTATAGGCATTAATCATTGGATAGAGTAGATATTAGTAACTTAAGAGACAAATTTCTACTGTAGATAAAATGGACAATTATTCCAGAAATTCTGGTCAGTTTCTCCAATTTGGCATGTATTATGAAAATGATGCTCCAAAGTGGATTATAAAAGGGATGAATGTTCAATGCCAGTTTATTTTGTAATGGGCTCTATGTAGTTATTTTTTTCCTGATTGTTCTTTGTTTTCCCTCTGAGACTAGGACTCAAACTGACTATCTGACGCTTTTAGGCTCACTGCAGCTGTCCTGACACCTGAGCCCCCACCTCTAACCCCCAAGCACTATGATTCTTAATTCTTATTGATGCCCACTGGAGGAAAGAAGAGGGTCATAGTCTTACTCAGAGTAGCGTTTATTCTTCGGAGGAAGCTGTATGGAATACTGACAGACTGTCCTAGAAAGAAAAGGTTAAAATACATTAGCTAACAAAGGCTGGCATACAACATGTAATACAGGAGTAATAGCACATATAATTAGTCGGCGATGTGATACATTAGTCATGGTGTGCATTGGAAATGCATTTGATAGAGAAACTATCATTTTGTAGGACCTTTACCAGCTATTAGGCTATCATTGGTGTTTAGGTATAACTTTTTTTTTTTCCAGTCCTGGAGCTTGAGGGCCTGGGCACTATCTCTGAGCTTCTTTTGCTCAAGGCCAGCACTCTACCAATTGAGCCACAGCGCCACTTCTGCCTTTTTCTGTTTATCTGGTACTGAGGAATCGAATCCAGGGCTTCATGCATACTAGGCAAACACTCTACCACTGAGCCACATTCCCAGGCCAAGGTATAACATTCTATAACTACTAAATATGGAGCGTAGTCTTTGTTCTGCAGTTCAGCCCTCTTTTTACTTCAGGTTATTTTCCAGATAGGGTTTAGCTTTCGGCCCCAGGACTAGCCTCAGACTGTTATCCTCCTACTTACGGCTCATCAAAGACCATGCGTCTGTGAGAGGGCTTGCTAACTTTTGCCCAGGCCGACATTGAACTGAAATTCTTCCACTCTGTTTCTAAAATAGTTGGGATGACAGCTGAGCAGCCACTGTACCTAGCTCAGGTGCTGAGTGCCTAGAGCCTTGCACTGATGAGCAGTTATTTTTAAGGGTACCTCTAAAGAACAGGGACAGTTCAAGCATTAGCAACTGAAGAAAATCACAAATTAACATCTTTCAAATGGTGAGGTTCTTCTATCCTATTGTGCACATCTTCCAAGAAGAAATCATTTGTTACATGAATAGTGATGACAAATATTGTAGTAGTGTCCCTCTTCTTTTGTTAGTGTACTAACAAAATTAGTTCATTGACATCTTTATTTAGCACCCAATTTTGTAAAATTTTCTTAGTAAAACTTACACTGCTGGCAACCAGATTAGAGCAATGCTTATAATAGGACATGTATAAATATTGTGCTTATAGTCGAGTTTTTCTCCTGCCAACTGCTTACTGTTGAGAGGGACGCTGCAAGGTGGCATCTTTAATCTTGTCCCACGTGACGCTATGCCCTTGGAAAGGCAGGGGAATTATCTGTCCTTCAGAACCATTTATTGTACTGTTAGATGCCTGGGAATGTAACAGAAACATTTATTTAGCTCAAAATATATGATGAAAACAGAAATAAGACAAAATTTCAATAAAATGAAGAAATTCAGTAAAGTCACAGACACATTATTACAAAAAATGTTTTAGAAAAGTTTTTCTATCCAATATTTTTTCTTATCTTAAAAAAAAGCTGGGCTGGGTGCTGGTGGCTCACATGTATAATCCTAGCTAATCAGGCGGCTGAGATCTGAGGATTGAGGTTCAAAGCCAGCCCACGCAGGAACATCTTTGAGACTCTGATCTCCAATTAACCACCAGAAAACCGGAAGTGGCACTGTGGCTCAAGTGGTAGAGTGCTTGCCTTGAGCAGAAAAGCTCAGGGACAGCATCCAGACCCAGAGTTCAAGCCCATGACGAACAAAAAAAATTATCATTAAGTAGTTATACACAGGGGTTTCAATTCAGCATGTTAGTTTATGAATACAATGCTTCTTGATCAATGTCACCAATTCCATCATTCTCCCCCATCTCTCCCAACCCTACTCATCCTCAAGTTACCTGGCTCCATTTTCACATGCGGATACTGAATATTTATGACTGTATATGTCCACTATTCAAGACTATACATTTGAAAAAAATATTTAATGCCTTTTATTCTGTCTAGTCAGCTAACCAACCATCCAAAGGATCTTCTCAGGTTTGGCTGGGCCTAAGCCCATTCAGAAAGAGCTACAATCATCTGTAAATAAACCTTCTGCACAGTAGTTATCCTACATGTACCATAAAGCTAAATGTATATATATTCTAACACACACACATATTCTAAAGTCTAATGCATCTGTAAGTCCATGAGAGCAGTTCTAAAAGATGTTACATGTACTACCTGCTTTGTGTTCACTTCCACTTCTGGCCAGTTCTTTGTCTCAGATGTCTCCAAATCAGAATTAAAGCTATAATATTTAAAAAGGTTATGGTTACTCTTTCAAAATATCAACACTGGGATAACAAATTTCAATAATAAAAACAAACCCAAAGGAATGCGATCCATCTATCCTCATAAAATGTGTTATATCCTAATTAGATAACCAGGAAATAGTAGATATGGTTTAGATTAAAAAGACCTCTTTTTCCATTTTTTGAATAGTAACTAGACACCAGTTAAATGAAATGGGACTATTATCTTTGTAGCACTGATAAATAAATATAATCATACAGGGATATGTTTATGTCCTCTTTTTTTCCTCTCACTTGACAAGTTCACTATGTTGTAGCTCCAATTCCTTATGTTAAATATACATGGATTCATCTGTTATTACTGTATCTCTTATCTACACTGAAAGAATAGTTTTATTTCCTAAATTCACTAAAATCCAGGACCTGATCAATCACTGATGTAACTGTGATCCTCAGATCTCAGCCTCCTGAGTAGTTAGGATTATAGGCGTGAGCCACTGGAGCCTGACTCTCTACTGTTATTAACATGAATAAATGTGCTTGCTTACACAAGTGCTCTCTGAAGTCATATACTGAGGATTCTTGGAAAGTGTATTTAAAAATATAGAAAAGCCGGGTGCTAGTGACTCACACCTAAGCCTAGCTACTTAGGAGGCTCAGATCTAAGGATTGCAGTTCAAAGCCAGCCCAGGTAGGAAAGTTCGTGAGACTTTTATCTCCAATAAACCACTCAGAAAACCAGAAGTAGCGCTGTGACTCAAGTGGTAGAGCATTAGCCTTGAGCTGAAGAGCTGAGGGACAGTGCCCAGGCCCAGAGTTCAGGCCCCATAACTGACCAAAAAAAAAAAAATCTATCTATCTATGTATGTATATATAGTATATATACATATATATATAGGACATATCTATATCTATATATGTTTTTAGACCCATACTTGAAACATCAATTATGGAACACTCACAAGAGACAAGTTTAATAGCCATTTTCAACAATGATTGATAGTGCTAATGAAATACAGAATAGGAAAAGTCCTGTTAACTTCATTCCAACCAAAAGCACCACTGTACCTAGGAATCAAGGAATATGGCTCATTAACTTATTTTAATTTCCTGAGCTTACTGTTGGTGGTTGTTTATCATACCTGCTTAATTCAGTCTGAGTTTCAGCCTCCGTCCTTTGATCTGAACATTCCTTTTTTCGTTTGGCAGGTGTATAATATCGATACTGTGATAGGAAAGATTTTGCATCTGTTTTTAACGTGCGTGGAGTGAATGGCAACTCTTTGTTAGAAAAGAGGTCAGAATGTTTTTCCAATAGATCCCCACTGGGTGCTTTTGAAATGACTAGCTGAAATCTGTGGGCATTTGGGAGTGTGTTCCTGGGCTTTCTGCCATTCATGGTTCCATAGCGTGATTTCCTGGGGGCTGCGGGGAGATAATCCAGGCTGGGAGGACAGGAGCTGGAGTTCTTCTCATCACCAATCATGAAGACTTGATCTGATTTAGGTAGACTGAGGTGCAGTGTTTCTGGAGAAGGTACCACTGACTTCTCACATTCATTTACTGCTAACAGCACATCCTGGTCTTGCGGTTCTCCTGAGGGCTAAGAACATTTGATTTGATAGTTATCAGTTGTATTAAAGATTCATATAATTACAGCTCTCTAAATTAATTAAGATGTGTAATTCATTTAATCTTTTTTTTTTTTTTGTCTGTTGTGGGCCTGAACTCTGGGCCTGGGCACTGTCCCTCAGTTCTTCAGCTCAAGGCTAGTGCTCTACCACTTGAGCCACAGTGCCACTTCTGGCTTTTTCTGTGTATGTGTGGTGCTGAGGAATCGAACCCAGGGCCTCATGCATGCCAGGCAAGCACTCTACCACTGAGCCACCTTTCCAGCCCAATTCATTTAATCTTTACACAAATTCCTGAGTGGTAGAACTACTGTTGCCTTTTTATGGTGGGGGGAGGGGAGGAAAAGCTGAACCCAAACCTTGTGCATGTGAGGTTACCGGAGTATGCCGTTCTACCTGAGTTACATCTGGGTCCTACCCTTAAGACTGAGGTACAGGGTCTCACAGATTCAAATAGAATCCGAGCCTTTGCTCTTTATCATTACATATCTATTGTTAAAACTCATTTGAAAATCATGTAAGTTTTAGCGCTTCTTTTGTGGTACTGGGATTTAGAATCAGGACTTCTCACTCTACTCCTGTGTGTGTGTCCTGTGTTTTGTTGGTTATTTATTAATTTAATTTCTGTGTGTGTGTTTGCCAGTCCTGGGGCTTGAACTCAAGACTTAGGTGCTGTTCCTTGAGCTTCTTTTTTTCAAGGCTAGTGCTTTACCACTTTGAGCCACAGCTCCACTTCCAGATTGTTTTTTTTTTTTTTGGTAGTTTAGTAAAGATAAGACTCTCACAGACTTTCCTTCAGGGGTTAGTTTGAACTGTGATCCTCAGATCTCAGTCTCCTAAGTAGCTAGAATTACAGGTATGAGCAGCAGTGCCTGGCTTACTAGTTATTTTTGAGATAAGGTCTTGGTTTTTTGCCTAGGAGTGTGCCTGGACTATAATCTACCTATTTTAGGCTTTCTATGGTTGCTGGGATGACAGGATCTTGCCAGAACATCCAGTTTCCCTCCATTAAGATGAAATCTCAGAGCGGCTGGGACCTCACACAGTAATCCTAGTTACTCAGATCAGAGGATCAAGGTTCAAAACCAGCCCAGACAAGCAAGTCTGTGAAACTCATTTCCAATTAACTATCAAAAAGCCAGACATGATTGTATGGCTCAAGGGTAGAGTGACAAACTTGAGCAGAAAAGACGAGAGTTTGAGGCCTTGAGTTCAAGCTCCAGTGCTGTAACAAAAGAAAACAAAATAAAAGATGATGTCTCACAGACTTGTTAGCAGTAGTTGTAGTTATCTGTAGTTAGTAGTTGCTTGTAGTAGTAGTTTTTCCCTAAAATAAAATGCCAAACAGAGTCTCTTTAAAGACATAGCTTGGTGGTAGAGTGCTTGCCTAGCATGCACAAAGTTGTGGGTTCCATCCCCAATGCTGTAAAAATAAAAAATGCATAATATGTAATCATAAAATGAAAATATACTTGTGAGTCAAACATGAATGCCCAGATTCCCAGATGGTAAATTACAGCACAGAGCCCATAGCAGATTTATTCTGAAGCAAGCAGCTCTATTTCTGCAGCTTTTATCTATACACTAGCCTGGGGAGTTCTTAATCATATTCACTGCTTCCCCGATGACTCCCAAGCCTATTTCCAGCCCAGATCTCTCTCCTGACACAGATGTCTATATCCAACTATCTATTCAATGTACTAGATGTTCTAGAGACATCCTGAAGCAATCATACCCAAACAAGCTCATACTTTGAATTACTCTCTTCCCTGAAGAAAAGCTCACTTCATCCTGTTACTCTCATTTCTTTGAGTGTCATTATCCTAGATGCCCAAGCAGAAACCCAAGAACCCTCTTTGTTCCTCTCAAGCCAGTCACCAAGTCTGAGGGATAAATATTTCTCTCTCTCTCCCCCTCTCTCCCTCTTCATCTTTCTCACCCTCTCTCTAGGTGGTACTGGGGTTTGAACAGGGGTGTCCTTCTTGCTGAGCAGACGCTCTACAACTTGGGCCATACCCTACATCTTCTGGCTCATTGAGAAGGAGTCTCACAGACATTTCTGTCCTGGCTGGCTTTGAACCAAATAGGAAGGATTATAGGAATGAGCTATCAGCTCATAGTTAGTATTTCTTACATGTATCCCTGTGCTCTCTATACTGCCTTGGATTGGGTCATAAGTCCTTTCCAGATTGCTGCAAGTGTCTCACAGGTCATGTGCCATTCAGTGTAACCTTTGTTAAATCGATAATGATATAAGCTCCCCAATCAAAATCCACACTTCCTCCATATTTCTCAGATTCACTAGTATGGACAAATAGTCATTTTTCTCTGCACACTGATAAATCCCATTTTCATTTGCAATGGAGAGATCTGGAGTTAAAGTATAGCATTTAGTACCTGGTAAGTGGAGCAGTGGTAGGCTCACCATATACAAGATGAGAATTAGGGGCAGAAAACAAAAACATTTACTTATAGTTTCCATAGCTGGACCACAGATGTGTTCTATCACATCTGGTTTATTTGTTAAAATGGGGTCTCACTAACTTTTCTTTTTGTTGGTTGTGAGGATTGAACTCTGGGCCAGGGTACTGCCCCTTAGCTCTTTAGTTCAAGGTGAGTGCTCTCAAGGTGAGCCACAGTGCTACTTCCAGTTTTCTGGTGGTTAATTGGAGATGAGAGTCTCATGGACTTTTCTGCATAGGCTGGCTTTGAAGCTTGATCCTTAGATCTCAGCCTCCTGAGGAGCTAGGATTACGGGTGTGATCCACCGGCCCCAGCTCACTAAGGCCTCAAACTATGATCTTCTCAGCTCTGCCTCCAGAGGAGCTGAGATTATAGGAGTGTACCATCACCCATGGACATTTAAAAGAAAAAAAGTTTTTTTTGAGATGGGGACTATGTTGCTCAGGCTTGCCTGAACTCCATGTGAGCTGAGATTACATACATGAAACCACAATGCCTGGGCTCTGTTGTGGTGTGGTTCTCTTTCAGATATATGCCAAAACTGTGAGAAGGCTGGATAGCATTAGGGGAAAAAAGGCAAACTGCACAGTGGCTGGTGACTGACTGCAAAACTGTATTAGAGCAGGATATCAAGGTGATCACTCCCTCCCCCACAACTGGCCAAACAGGATTGTTAGGTATTCCTTGCTTCATTTTAGTAGCATCTATCATTGACCCATCATTAGCCTTGTCAAACTGCCTATTCTCATTGGACATCTGACCTAGAGAATAACAGAAAATCCCATCTAAGGACAGAAAAGTGGAGAAAACTCTGTTTAGTGATATTCCTGGTCCTTTCATGGAATTCCACATCTTTCCCGGCAAAACTCAAGAATAAGCTTCTCTTAGGGAGAGGGGGGAAGGAGAAGGATTGGGATGGGGGGGGAGGGGGGAGGCTGGGAAGGGATGGGAAGGGTAAACAAAGGAGGGGGCTGCAATGCTTGGTAAGAAATGTACGCATTATCCTGCCCATG